TGGTTGTTGCGGACAGAGTTTCTCGCCCCACCTCGGTCTACTGGCTGGTATACCACAAATCACTTGAGCCGCGGCGAGGGGGCACGGAGTTCGGAAACCCGAACCAAAGACGGGGAGTTTTCGGAGAGTGTTTAGTGTACGTGGTCGGCGTAGTGTTTTATGACCAAGAGAGAGAGAAACGGGGGAATTTCTGGGTTGCCGGGGTGTGGCTCGGTCTCTCTTTGTGTTGGGGCCTCCTAAAGGAAAGATGAGGTTAACGCGCCTTCTGCTCGAAGCTGTCTTTATAGCAATTTAACTTTCAGCGTGTACCTTTAATAAACAGTTGTTCAGTTTTTTCAATCTGGTTCTACAACAGTGGTCCCAGAGAAGTGCAAGCCCAGAGTGAGACCGGCAGTGGTGCCCCAGAGCCAAGGCTCTGTGGTGCCCTACGTACACAAGGTCAGCCACAGGATGAAGGTGGCGGAGAGACACAAAGTTCCGGTTATTTTCTTCGCTCCCAAGAAACTAGAGAAGTTGTATGGTAGAATTGATAGGGGAGCAGCAACGATGCGAAAATAAGCAAAAAAAAAAAAGTTCGTGGCGTGCGAAGTGGGACTTGTGTAAGAATACCGCTATCGTGTGGTAAGCAGTATATTGGACAGTCGGTAGATGCGTCTACGATAGACTGAGGGAGCATGGATTATCTGTGAGGTCGTCCCTTGGCGCCGAATTCGGCGATTCATTGCGACAGGTGTGGGTGCGCCCCTAAGTTTGAAGAGGCAACAATAATGATGCGACAGAACAACAAGAGGACGATGGAGATAACGGAGACATATTATATATCACGATGTAGGGTTAGTGCCCCCTCTGTGGCCCTCTATAAAAAAAATGAAAGCCGTTTACAACTCCCTGTAACGCCGAATTAGAGCGCAGCTCTTGAGGAGGAGGAGGGGAAGGGAACTGAGGGCCACGTGTTCTCGGGGGGGGGGGGGGGAGGGTCACGTGACCTCGAGGAGGGAGGTCACATGACCTCGGGGGAGGTGTCACGTGACCTCGGGGGGCGGGGTCACGTGACCCCCCCTCCCCCAGGTCACCGAAGGTACCCGAGGTCCTCCCGAAGGAACCCGAGGTCCTCCCGAAGGAACCCGAGCTCCTCCCGAGGTCCTCCCGAAGGAACCCGAGGTCCTCCCGAAGAAACCCGAGGTCCTCCCAAAGGAACCCGAGGTCTTCCCGAAGGAACCCGAGGTCCTCCCGAAGGAACCCAAGGTCTTCCCGAGTTCCTCCCGAAGGAACCCGAGGTCCTGCGAGGTCCTCCCGAAGGAACCCGAGGTCCTTCCGAAGGAACCCGAGGTCCTTCCGAAGGAACCCGAGGTCCTTCGGGAAAATGTACCCATAATGCACCGCGCGGTTACGCCGACGGCGACGGCGACGGCGACGGCGGTACCGCTCAAGCCGGAAACGGGCGCCCAAGAGCTGCGCTCTAAATAAGTTAGAATATCTCGGCCAATGGGAACGTGGTGTGTGGTGACGTGGGCGTGGTGGATTGTTCGGGTTTTTTCGCGGCCTTCATGTTTTTTTTCGTTTTTTTCCCTATCAGCGCCTTGTTTGTGTGTATACTCTTCTACTGGTCCGTCGTTTGTTTGCGCTGTATTCTCGTTCCGATGCATCACCAACTTGTCCAAAATTCTACGCTATAACACTTCAAATGGGGAGTAGCCGACGGAGCTGTTCGCACTGTTTCTTTATTTTTCTCCACCCGTCGTCTGCCCTGCCTCGTTTGATAACTTATATCGCGCGCGGGTGTTTGTTCGGCGGATGGGCATGCCGAACAAATCTTGCGCTACAGCCACTTCAAAAACACCGAAAAGGGAATGTGTTCAAGTTCCCTCAAGACGGTAACCGGCAAGCGTGGGCAAGAGCTATGAAAGATGTCCTGTTCCCGTCCTCGTCCTCGCTGTTTTATACTTTCAAGTTTTGTATCTATTAACCAACACGCTCGTTTTCAATTGTAAGAGCCATTCCAAGGGAGAATCTTGTGTCTCAACATACCACGGGAAGAACTCCTTCTTGTTTTCATTTGCCAGGTCTCTTGTACAGTTTTCGCTTTCTAAGTCTTCTGAGCTTTCGTCAAATGACTTACATCGGTTGGTATCATATCGGGCGTCATTAGAAAAAAACAAACAAACAAGGCTCAATGTGCTCAAAGTACGTCAGCATTTGCTTAAGTTCGACAGCTTACGTCAAGGACTTGAGATGCTACCTATACTTCAACAGCCTGCTTATACAGAACCAGTGTAATTCCTTGTGCGGACGAATATGACGTTGAGTGCGGTGCCAGGTGGCCAGGTTAACGGCTCATTCATTAAACAATTTATTCTATTACTACGACTGGGCAACCGCAAAGTTTCCTCAGTTTTTCTTATGCTGTAAAGCATTTAAAGAAAAGATAGGACGCGTCCAAAAAGTCACATCTATCCGTGTATACGTGCACGTGAAAATATGTTGACTCGCCTGTTCGTTCACGAATATATTTATCGGGATCATTTGTGCTTCGTGTGACACGAGGGAACCTAATACAAAGTACTCATAAATTGTTGTCATTTATACGATAGCAAATTTGTTTTTCCAGTGCGCGAGCTTCACTTCACGGAGAGTGATATCCTTCGAGAGATTTCACACGCGGATGATGCTACGTATGGTCACAGGTCATCGTTCCATTGAAGCATCCCCGCCTACGCCATGGTGCACTGTCATAATTTCAGCTTGACTTGTGGTGTAGATGCAAGTAGCTCTTGAAAGAAGCTCTCTGAACGGTTTAGCTTCAAGCAAGAATGCAGTTACTACATTCGTTTACTAAGTCAACATTATTGATGCTGTGGTGAAAAAATCTGTTTTCAGTCATTCTTCATCATGTAATTCTTGGCAAGTATACTTCATAAATAATCCATCTTGCGGGGATAATTACATCATGCACAATTTCGTGCTTAAAGTAAACCATATCTCGAGAATTATACACCTACAGCGTTCTTGTATTTTACATCATTGATTTTATGAAAAAATTATTCACCAGTTTCAGAAAACCAGCTTCCTAACCCAAAGGTCGTGCTCAGTTGGCATTTAAGGCAATGAACACGCCTGCATCAATAATAACTCGTTGCTATGACAGTAACCCCCCGCGTATTCCTTCTCTTCCGCGCTTTAGAGCGGCCCTGATGGCCTTCTCTTACGGCCATGCGGAAAGAGCGCTGAGGCCTTCCTTGTCTAGGAGGTGTCGCCTGACCCCTGCTCTAAGGTAAGCAACAGGAAGGGGTGGCCGCCGTCGAACAAACAAATCTCGCGCCTCCTTGCTGCAGACCCGACACTCTGAAATCAATTTAGAGGACTGACGCCAGTGGCGTAAAAAGTGCAAAAACATCCGGGTTATCGATCTGTCGATTTTCCTTTGGCGTAAGGAATTCTAACGCAAGTGAAAACGCATCATCCCAAAGGACGAAAGCAGCCAGACGAAAAGATAGTGCCTAATCCCAAAAGAAAAGTACGATGCCACCCCACCCCCGCATCAACATGCTATGCCCAGACTGGGGAAGGTAAAGGGTCCAATGCAAGATTAAACAAAATATTGACACGTTTCCTATCTTTTTTTTTTTCACACACATAAAAAGAAATGCTTTAATTGCAGCAGCGACGGCCGATGAGCAAAGGAGGCTGAGTAAAGCCCGGCGTCCCAAACCGATTTAGGCTTGTAGACCTGGACACTGAGAGGCCCTTGCTGCTTCCTGTACACGTTGCTGGAGGAAGGCGTGCGGTTCGGTGTGGACGGATAAGCAACCCGGTATAATAAAGGATGTTACAGTTAACTTGCGCCAAGACTTAAAAGAAAGCTGGTGCACGCTACGCTTGTTGAACCAATGCAGTACTGTTCATAGTCCTCTCGTGCAACTCCAGATATTTCTTGTGATAAGCTAAGATCGCTACTAGCCAACTTTTAATCTCTTAATTTGTACGCAAACCCCGTTATACAAAAGTTTTAAAGTGAGTTGAGCTACATCCCATCCTGTAATTTCCATAAATAAAGGTAGCCTTCATGTGTATAAAATTTTTTACCCTTAAAAAAGAAAGCTCAAAGATGTTGTGCTAGATTTAATACATTCCATGTACCGTATTTTCCGGTCCGCACTCTGCGCATAGTCAGCACTTAGTGCCTAATCCGAACTTAAAAATGATCACACAGAGCACACCTTGACAACTGCCTGCTGCATTAGCTCGCAAAGAAGCTTGCATCACATATAAATCACTATTATTATACTCTGTTTCTCATAAAATCCTTCGCGTCCTGTCACAGTGTACTATGTAGAAAAACACAAAACCTTGTATAGCAGGCACCCGCAAATAGCCCGCACAGGGAAAAATTTCAACTTTTAAAAATGTGTAGTCCCCGAACTATAGACTGGAAAATACGGTAATTACCGGCTGGCGAACTGCAGTGGGCATGGCCTTAGTTCCGTAAAATAAAATACAAATAAAAAAAGTCGGCCATGTACATTTTGTTTATTTCTTACCACTTGAAAACATTAGGCACGAAAAGGCAACCTTAGCAAAAACGACACTATGGACAGGTTTTCAAGGCGTCCTACAACGTTCGTATGGTAAGGATGCGCACAAAATAATATTTTAAAAAGTCGGCTTGTTTATCTGCGTTCATAGCCAGTTTGGCCCATTTAAAAAAGTAACTTGACTCGCTCAACTGAACAATACTGCGTTTGTTTGAAACGTGTAGTGCGCACCATGTTTTTAAAGTCTCGGCGCTAGTTAGCTAAAACACCATGCATGTTTTCTTTTTCTTTTGTAGTGAGAACGAAATGAAAGCAGTGCTTTTTCCAACTCATTTTATTTTCGAGGATGCAAGACACTACACAGTGACAGACTTTTTTTTTTAATGTCAAGTTTGCATACACACTACTTTTCCTCACCACCCGACGTGCAATTGAGAATCACACCTGTTAATTCTAGGAAATGGACACCTATTGCCCTGTTAGTGAGGCATTACAGGTTATCGGATTGTAAACTTGAAATATTGGCGATTTACAGGTTATCATGAATGCGAGAACGCAGTCGAGGGAAATTTTTTTCAATGCGATGTCTTGAAACCATCTTTCAATGGAAACTTGTACGTAAGCTTCTAGGTCTGATTTTTGCCTTTCTGTCGGAGTGCAGTTTTCATCGATTCCCAATTGTTTCTTCTTGTCCTCCCTCAGTTGATTTTCTTTATTTTCAATCTGATCTCTCACGTCCTCCACTATTTTTTTCAACTCGGTTTTTCTCACCCACAAGTCGCATCCTGTAAAATTGAAGACATACCAATTAATCGCGAACATCGTACAGACAGTTTTGGGTGACTGTGAAAGTACTTAAACGTTCGAAAGCAAGTGACTCCAAATGAAAACAAAAAATCAGTTGCGGCGCGGAGACTCGGTGTAAGTCAACACTATAAAACAAAAATGTCAGTTGTCAGTCAGCGCTAGTCGCGTGTACTACTCTTCTGCCTGTCTGTTTTTGTTGCTGTTTTTTTTTTCGAGTTTTATTTTTCTTTCGTTAGTCACGTCGTCGCACAAACCGTTACTAATTTAAACAAAGCTTAGATAAGCATAGTGTTTTCTCTTATGTCTTTAAACCCCAGACCCGAGCCGATTCACCACACGCCAATAAAGTAACAATATACGAATATTTCATTGAATGGGTATAAAATTTTTTTCTTGAAAGAGAGAGGCCAGAATAGGCTTTGAATAATTTTTTTTTCTATAGTTAAAGCTCAGCTGATTATTCTGACACAGCGTTCCGTAACTGCCCCTGTTATATTTTTAAACGTTATATTTTTAGGTATTATTTAGGTATTTATTTGTATTCTGTCCTGAAACAACCGAGGCCTTAGTACTGGTTCACACTCATACCCACATATACACGTTCATGAGAATAAAAAAAAAAAAATACAGAAAATAACAAAACAGACAGAAATTCCGAACACTGATGTTATCAAATGTGGATGATCTCTGTACTTTTCAGATCCAACTCACTCCCGAGAAAGTCAACCACCGCACTCAGTGCATTAAAATATCTTTAAATTAGTAAAATGTGGGAAGTTAACACATGTCTTGCACGTTTAAAGTGTTGTGGTGACAACAATTTACGGAAAATACACCTAGAGGAAAAAAAAAAAAAAAAACAAGTCTAGGGCAACGTATTTTGCTAGGTGCAGTTTTAGACAAAAGTACATAATCTCGAAAATTCCGGCGCCAGTATTGGCAAGTTTAGCCGAAGTAACATTGACTCGTAGCTACAAAAGAACCGGGGGCCGTAATAACAGTCGTATTTTATATGTGCCAACTTTCTTTGCACACGTTCTAGGCTAGCAGGGCTGGTCAGTCCCAGACAGTTCGAAACTACAGAGACAAACTAGTTTCGATTGAACAACAGATGCACAAAGCTTGACGAGGCATGAAGTCTCTTTAAAATGACGGGTTATAGCGAAAACAAGCCTAATAGTCACAAAAAAACAAACCAAATTTGACACATGATATAACTAAGGGATGGATCAATATAATCTCCTAAGTACGCAATATTCACGTCGCAACGGTTGATTGTCTTGTTTATACAAAAAATTAAGCGCTTTCTTGCGTGATAAAAAAGACAAGTGTTTTTTACTGTTTAGACGTAATTTTTGTTGCGCACCATGATGAGATAGCAGATATGTCATGCAGCAGTTCACAATCAACGTGTGATTTGGTCGTTTGAAGGTCTTAATATAATTAGCGAACTGAAGCAAATTCGAATGTTTTACACAAAGAGAGGCATCATAGAAAATATGTTCAACGGCAAGGGTCCTAGAATAGAACCCTGAGGAACGCCAGATGATATGTATGATCTCGATAACAGACTGTTAACACGAGCGTTGTTGATGCGCCAGGAAAGATATGATGAAACCACGAACATACCGGCAAACACACCTCATATTCCGATAGCTTGTGCACACATAGATCATGGTGCACAAGACCAAATGCTTTGGTTAAGTCAAAAGAAATTGCATCGACCTGCCCATAGCTGGCAACTAATGGGGCCAACGTCACTCAGTCTGCTAAGTTAATTTCAACTCTTTCAGACTTAACAACACCTTGTTGCAATTTATTTAATATTTATTTACAATAACTAAGAATCTGCACTTCTACCACGCTCTCAGGCATTTTTGAGAATGTGGTAAATATACATAATATTTCATTTTAATTTAATCATATAGCAAAGGGCATGAAAGGTACACTAATGTTGTTTGTGCGGATGAGATTTAAAATCAGGGGGTCCTATTATAGTAGGTTAATCGTCCTAATAAGTAGGACAATTAGCTAAAACTTGCTAGGTAGCTTTCTAGTTAGTGAAGATAAACGTATGATTTCAATTGGAAACTTGCTGTGGAACATTAAAGACTACTAAATTAAAAAAAAATTCTAGGATTTAATGCACATGTGAAGTGTGGAGGTGCGCTAAAGTTAGCACTCGTGCAACAAGCACAAGGCTGGCGGTACGAAACGTGGATGACTACCATCCGCGAAGCCCAGGAACAAACTTCAGTGTATATCGTTTCACGTTGGCTTGGCAAAGAGCGAAAACTACGGCCCGCTCGAGCCGATCAGAGTGACGGCAGCGAAGCACGTGACGCAAGGACACAAGGGAGAGAGCGTAACCCGAGAAGTTGGACAGGAGAGGAAGAAGGAACTTCCCTCTTAACCCAAACCCTCTTTTGTGTGCCCCAGACGTTGTTGTTCTCCCCCTCGGAGATTAGCCCGTCACAAAAAATTAGCACAAAAGCGGCTTCCCCCTTTCTCTTGCTCATGGCTTTGACAACACTGCGTGGAAATAGTGAGGGTATAGTCACGTGTCTTGCTCTGACGCTCTGATTGGTTCACTCGGGCAGTAGCCTTAGCCGTTTGTAGAGCTATGGTGAGACAAGAATAGATGTATTTTGAAAAACAGCGCGAATAACACACGGACAAGAAGAAGAGAACACACAGGACGAGGCTCTGTCCTGTGTGTTCTCTCCTTCTTGTCCGTGTGTTATTCGCGCTGTTTTTCAAAATAGATTTATACCAACTCGCCAAACTTTCGTTTCTAGTCAGAATAGATGCAGATGTTTTGGCCGCCGGGAAGCATACATGGCCGATGGTGTTCTCTTCCTAAATTAAATCTTCATATTATCGCTGACGGCTATTCACTTTTGGGTATTTGTTGCACAAGCGATGCATAAAACATATATTATGTTGTTGTTTTATACTAGGGCCCACCTCTGATTCTCAATAATCTTGCAAGTTTCCAACTTAGCACGAACTTACGTTGAAATTAAGTTGCACTAGCATTCTTCTGAATGTATTTGAAATCACACACGACACTAGCAGTATCAGACATTTCACTGCACTGCTGCGAAGTCATCGTCTGCAATCGTAGTTGAACATATGTTGATTGTGCGCGATACTGGGCAATGTGTGGTGCAATCGTTTTTAGTTGAAACAAAACTTTGGTACCAAGAGTACCCCCGTTTTGCTTAACATGTACACATGGGCCTTCGAGGCATTGAAGATTACCAACGGGTTTAGACATAACCTCTGTAAACTGAACATACCACAAAACGTAGAGTTTATTTTACACACGTAGGACGCGTCTACGCGCAAATCTGAATAAAAACATGGCACAATAAATCCTTCGTAATACACCTTATTGACAACTCGTTTCCTTCAAAATTCGTGCTCTAAGCAACCTTAATTTGGGTGTTTTTTCTTCTGTAATAAAGCACACTGTAGCTGCTATACTTATTTAAATTAGCGAAATGCAACACGATGTGACATTAATCTCGCTGAAGCTTTAATGACCTTACCTCCTGAGGTTGCCGGACTCCTAAGGATATAACATTGCGGCTCGTTGTATACCACATACATGTCAGCATAGTCATCATTTTCCGGATAGGGGAACAATTCATCTAGAACATTCTTCTTAGAATTATCATAGCCCCGTGCACTCAGCGGAGGATTCACAGCATTTTCTGGGTGAGAAAATCATTTTCGCAATTCAAATTGAATACACCACCAACAGAAACAAGCTCCACGCTTGTCGAGCATAAAACCTGAACTTACCCCTATCAGGAAAGGGAGTACTTCTGGAATAGCAGATGGAGTTATCATACTCAGCGTACCTGCAGCTTCCTGGGGGAACTGGAGTAGCATTTGGGAGTGTTCCTGATTTTGGGGTACAAAAGCGAGTTAACGCACTTTTAATATAGCTTAGACGATTAGGCAACTGAAATCCCCCCAGGTTGCACGCTAATCCTGACCTGACAGTGAAGGGAAGCAGTATAGAAACTAATTACAACTATTTGAGTTACTGTAGTTAAATTTTTCTAACTAAATAGTTTTCAAGTTACAATAAAATTTTAGTAACAACATCATGTAAACAAACGCTTTTAATGAAATTTAGACCGCCTGCCAAAATCGCTTTCTCAACGTTTCGCGCTGCGACTTTCTACAGAGGTGCAAACAGGTGGTAGAATTTTACAGCGAAAAACAAAAACCAAGAAATGATCCTACCTCGTTTACAAGGGAAAGAAAAATCTGATCTGGGGAATCTGAGCTGTCACTTAGCAGACGATATACGCGTAGAGAGAAGTGCTGCCTACAGATGGCGTACACCACTTCTAGGGAGCACCGGCCGATTCGAGTTCTTTTGCGAGATCGTCTGCTATCAAACACCGGCAGGTGCTCCCTCGACGCGGCGTACGCTGTCTGTGAGCTGATCTTCTCTCTACGCGTGCATTGTTTCTGAAGTGTCGGCGTAGGTTGAGGAGGACAGGTTTTAGAGCGAAGCTCTTAGGCGCCCGTCTCCCAGTAAAGTGGCGTCGCCGTCGGTGTCACCGTCGGCGTAACAGTTCCGCTAAGTTTAGCGGAAAATTTATTTGGGGTTGAGGTCATGTAATTTCAGTTTTCCCGCTAAATCTAGCGGAGAAACTGAATTCGTTTATGGGTGACATGACAAGAAGTCATTTGAAGTCATTTTTGCAGCTAAATTTAGCGGGGAAGCTGTGGGAGGAGGGGAGGGTATAGAGGAGGAGGAGGGGAGGGTACGCAGGTGGAGGAGGGACATACCCTCCGCTTCGTACCCTTTCGTCCGGCCTTTCAAGAGCTGCGCTCTAATTTTGCATTAGAGATTTCTAAACGTCTTTCATTTTTTGTTTCTTTTCATTTGAATAAGGTAAGGTCGTTCCTTGATTTTTTACTGCCTTTCGCTACATGTTCGCACCTTTCTAGTAAATCGCAGTGCGATACATTGATAAACTGATTTTTCGGAACGTCTAAAGTGCACTAAAAGTGTTAGTTTACATACGGTATAAATTCAACTTAGTAATATTTGTGTGACTTGTAGGTTGGATTAGTTCGAGTTACTTTCCGAATTTTCACTTCTGAGCGTCATATTCGAGCAGTTCAAATTAATGGAAGCACCTGTCGATGAAATTGTTTGAATCATTACTGGGTTGACTTTTCATCACACTAGAATTTGTTAATTTTGAGCCTGACTTGATTGAAAATGCTAATAAATCAACATTGCGGAGCGGCAAGAGCAGCACTTTTGGAATTGAGGCAAACGGTTATCACTTTTGGTAGTTAAACTCATGAGACGATCGTCTGAAACAGGCTAACATATGACCGCAATGTAGTAAATACCGCCAGTACGATGATGGTGAATGTAAACTGCTAAAACCTTTTCGCTGCATGTGTCCTCCAGCGCACAACAAAATGACAGAGCATCTCGATCCCAATTGAATTGGTCTGAACAGATTTTAATGCAAGAGCGGAGGCGAGCTCTTAAAGAACTGACACGTTTAACCCTGTAGAGTGGGAAAACAGAGGCATAGGACAACACGAATTTCCATACACAGCTGAGGTTTATTTTACGAGAAAACCCCCAAATAAAACCCCCCCCAAAAAGCCCGAACAGATTAAAAGAAGACACTAGATGACAGCGATGCCGTCACGAATACCCAACCAAGATATACGTATCCAGGGTACATGTCAACGCCCAAACAAGATCCCCCAGCAAAGAAATGATATATTGCTTCGTGATTCGAACATAAAAAACTAAAGACCCAGAGAAAGGGAAACACCGAGCGGTCACTAAGCAACAAAAGGAATGAGGTCAACCAACTTCTAACAGAGCCACAAAAAAGAAAAGATAGTTTCTTATCTTCAGCAGTGACCTTTCGACAGTATCATCATCATCATCATCATCATCATTTATTTTCCTTGAGGGCCCCAGGGGGCATTATACAAGGGAGTGAACACAATAAAAACATCAACAAAAATACTTTCAATCAGAGCAGATTGCTGACGCAAGCTGGTAATTAATTCCATGGAGACAAAGAAGTTTCAAAAAGGAAGGTGCTTCCGACGTTTAGGTGGATTTTGTATGCCTCAGACTCAGAAAATGGAGAAACCTGAAGTTGGAACCTCAAATGCATTTTTCTCAGTTCCCTTTTTTAGCAGGAAATGTTGTACGATGAAATGAATCATTTGGCGTTCTGATAACGTAAAAAACTTTATGTAGGGCGTCCTGAGCTGAAATTATATATATATATAAAATTAAAATACTCAGTCTAAAAAACACAAAAAACTCGCTCTTTTATGATAAAACTTTTGTGAATTTTTTTTTTGATTTCTGGGTGTTATTGTTTTTTTTTCTCTTTTAGAATTGCCTTTTCTACGATTTTTACTTGAACTTGTACTAACTTCTACAAAATTAAATTTTTTTTAACATTTTCTAATGAAGTCACGTCTTTTCTACAACTTCAGAAGCGTAGGATGCTGTATAATTGGCAAGGCTGAAACTTCGGAATTTATAATTTACAATAGGGCCTAATTCGTCCTAAAATTTGAATAGATTTGAATGAAGGTTTGAAAGGTTAACCCTCTCAGGCTATATCCCTTCCTCCCTCTTTTTCAAAGCGTGGTTTGTGTATGTACATACCTCTGAAGTTTGCCCTTATAACGTTTTCAAGCGGGTAGTCAGTTTGATTCAGAGCTCTCACTTGTATTGTGATATTCTCGCTGAAATTAAAACAATTTACGAGCAAGTTAATTTTAGAACATATGCACCGAGAAACTAAGTGAGAGAAGGAGGTGAGAGCGTGCGGGGACGACAGAACGCCGAGCTCTGATTGGAAGGATTAGTGGGTAGACATAAAGCAAGCTGACTTTGTCTGACGTAGACTGCGTAAGCTGCTTTCTTCGGACGCTCTTTCAAGAGTACTTTTTAACGAAAACCTGCATCTTTCATGCAGGGAAATTTTATGGAATGCTACAGTAAAGGGGAAGCGAACGCAGTAGAGGTTTGTTTGGGAAATGCCGGGAGGAATTTACGAACGCAATTTCGAAAATGTGCACATCGTCCGCTTCAACAATGTTAAAAATCTGGAGAGAAAATACGTGTTAGGCAGCGGCGGTGACTTTCAATACGTGTAAGGACTTCGATAAGTTGAAGCGGTTGCTCGTTGCACCCTACAACTCAATTCCTGTTCTGTACGTTAACATTAGAAGTTTGAGAAAGTACTGGGAGTGTCTTAAAGTGATTGTTAATGAAGTTTTGCTTCGCATTAACGTTCTTGTTTTAACGGAATCCAACGAACCCAAAGCTTTCTGGGATCTTTACCAGTTATTGGGTTACAATTCCTTTTAGTTTTCTAGTAAGTATTCAATTAGAGGGGGGTTGGTAGTATATGCGAAAAGTGAATAAGTATGTCTCAAGTCAGGAAGTAACTTTTTGTTACACAGAATGTATTTCCTTAAAAATTGAGACCTCATTCTACTCTCTTTGTCTTTTCGTACGCTATAGACCTTCTAAAAGATACGGGCAATGTCTTCACGAGCTCACAGTGACAAGTTGGCACGACCTGCAGTCTAGTATTATTTTGCATCGTACAAGATATGAACATAGATTTGCCGAAAGATTAAACATCCGATGTTTGCTACTACCCTTACGCTTGCTGGTGTAGGTTTTGAAAGCGCTTTCAGTGCACCAACCATATAGGAGGTGGTGGGCGGTATAGTGGTCTCTTCGTGCATTTACCATATTTGTGTCAGGACGTTAGAAGCAACACTGAAATGGGCATTAATTTCGCAAAAAATGGCCGACCATTTTTTTGTCGGGTGTCAAATGGTATGGCAGTCTGGCCCGGCAGCGGCTGCGAAAAGTGATCTTCAAATCGTCCAAAACTTCGATAAAAATATGTTGGACAGATTGGCTTCGTCATGAGTTTGGAGCTCTTTTCTCCAAGGGACATCGCACTCTGACGTTTACTCAACATTTGTTCAAGTCCACGACTCCGTCAAAACGAAAGCACAGCGCAACGTTTAATATAAAAAAAAAAACGAAGGCCAGATATTATTTGGTTCAATACTCATATTTTAGCTTCCATTGCTGATAAAGGTTTTTGGTGCGTTGTACGCGAGCTCCTCGAAATGGCCAATTGCACGCCGAATTTCGTGCAGCGAGGAACGACGCCTTTGCCCGTGTACGTTTCTCTAAGCGACTTTATTAAAAAGGAAAAAGGGTTCTCAGAAAATTGTTTTAATATTTCACAAACTTGGTCCCTTGTGAAAGGTCTTAGAGGTCACTACAGTTAGCACTCAATTGGTGACGTCATATTCAATTTTTTTTGACAATAGTAAGGAGACCGCGGAAAAGCTTAGCATGTTCTTCGCCACTCTTTCAGACAAATCACCCAGTGCCTGCGTTTAGGTAGTATCATTGAAAGGTACAAATTACCCGTCTGGTTTTCTTCATGACATGGATGAAAAAGCTTGGCATTCGGCTCTTTTTAGTATGAAGTAGACTAGATGACCTGGAGCCGAAACAATTACCTTTGGTTTTCTCCAAATTAACATTGCATCTTTAAAACACGTGCTTCTTTTTATGACCTAACGGTTTCATAAAAACACGTAAGATTAAGAAAAAGATCAAAGCGGCTATTGCTTGACCCATTTTTAAGGGCCGAAACCAAATGTGACAGAGATATACCGCCCCATATCAATATTGCCTATCTTCGTAAATCTGTTAGAAAAGCACGTATTTTTTGTGATGAGCAGTTTTTTGGGCAGCCACCTCATGATATCCAAATCGCAATACGGTTGCGTACTTGAGAAGGGCACGCAACTGCTCTTAGACGACAATACCGGTTATTTGAACGCAGCGTTTCAGAATACTGTTTTTTTTTGTGTATGTGTGTGTGCAAATCGTTAATTATTCAAATTGGCTGCGTAAACTGTTCAATTCCGGTCTTCGGGAGCTTTTTTCTTTCTTTTTAGTTACTGGGCGTTTTCAGAAAAGATCAAACAAACATGTCCGGTGACCATTTTTAATTTAAAAAAATATATTTTGCTGGCTTCATGCCCAGAAGAATAAAACCAATCCTTGTTTTCAGAAAAAATTTTTTTGTCTTTGCGAAAAAAATTTGTAAGCACCCTTATAGTCACGTGCGCGTTTTGCGTATCGCCCGATGTTGGCATTTCGGGTGTCTTCTTCCAAAAAACTGCTCAGGCTACGGGTCTAGAGATATTCACTGAAAAATTGGGCGTAAAAAGGATTGACAAAAAGTATTAATTACCGAGTATTAGGGTAGTTATTTTGCGAAAAAAAAAATTGCGCAATAAAGCTCTTGATTAAAGAATATTTTTTTCCCGTATCTATAAAAGCTAAGTTCTCAAACCTTTGCCAGTGTGTTGCTCTGGATATAGTTCATCGTTGCGTGAAATATTGTTGTCCTGGTTAGCGGGAGAAATTTACAAAAATTTCTCACACAGGGGCATTTCATTAAAAATGCATTTTTTTGAAAATCATTTAAAAAAGGCCATATTTAATATTATTTAAACTCTCTGAAATTGACGTTTATAATATGTACTAACAAACACTATAAAAAAAAGGGTATCACCTTACACCCTTTTGCCCCATATAATACACCCCAAAACTTCATTTCGACGTACAGCGCCCTATAGTCGAACAGACGGCACCAAATTTTACCAGGGGCTTGATAACGGTGCGATATAACGTATTAAATTGCTAAAGTACGTATCAAAGACCACATAAAAAAAACACGGAGCTTTTGCAGTTCGGCCAAGAAAACTCTGATAATCTTTTTTGTAGACAATAATACGTACATCAGCTATCTTAATGAGTTGTACCACACGGCTATCAAGCCCCTCGTAAACTTTGGGGCCGCCTGTTCGATTATGGGGCGCTGTAGGTCGAATTGAAGTTTTGGGGTGTATTATATGGGACAAGGGGTGTAATAATAGACCTTTTTTTCTGAGATTGAAGTCTGCAAAAATATACTACAATATCTGTGTGTCTTTCAAGTTATAAAGCGAGACATATGGCCGAATTGAAGCTAACGCGGTTGCCATAAGTGAGGCGTGGACTTACCCGTTCCTCACAATTTCATTATAATTAAAAAGCGTAAAACTGCTACGGGGTGGTCAGGAAAAGACAAATTGACAGCACAGAGGTGGACGGTAGCTTGTAGGGAAAATGTCGTATACATTTTCGTACAACAGACCCAAAAATGCTCATGGGCCGGAGCGATCGAAGTGCGCCACCCTGTAACATGCTTCGCGGTGCCTGTTTCAACAGCCGGCTTATATCTTCTCCGTCTACGCGACGTAAAGGAAGCAACCGGAGCGACTTTGCAAACAGGTCAGCCTACAACCCTGGCGGTAACATGATGTAGGAGGTAGGGCGCGGCAGAACCTGAACCTGCGCCGCCTGTGAGCGCCAAAAGATGCGCCGCCGCGGAGGGCCGCGCAATTACTACAAGCTGTTTTCACTGCTATGAACTGGTTTTTTGACAAGTGTATCAAAGTTAACGCCTCAAAAACTAGTTTAGTATGCTTTAGAAATTCTTTAAAACAAACTGTGACGAACATTCCTCTGTTAATTCATACCTCTGATTGTGCTTCTTGTTCCTGTACGGCGGATTCTTATGTCAATTCAGTGAAATAGCTTGGCGTTTATTTTGACAGCGACCTTGCTTGGAACATCTACCAGTCCTATATTTGTACCAAACTCAGAAGTGCTGCCTGGCGTTTGTACACCAGTAACGTCTTGCGGCGATCTGTGTGCGCAGCGCTATTGCCAGCAGTCTCGCATACGGCGTTTTAAGATATGGAATTACTACCGTATTTACTCGAGTAATAGCCGTACTGTCTATGAAGAAAACCTGAGGGTGCTATTTTTCACGGAGCACGCAGATTGCCAATCACCGCGATCGACAGCACGATTCCAGCTGTTTACAGGACAGAGTTAACGTCTTCGTGCGAAGGTACCGTCTTCGAAGATTGCAGTTGTAGGTATAATTGTGTTCTACGTTTTTTTTTATGCAAAACGCAATGATTGGCTGTAGATGTGTTCTGTGGGAAAGCAGTCGCAAGGGTCTTGTTCATATATAGTGCGGCTATTACTCGAGTAAATACGGTATTTTTTTCCAATTGCTCCATAATATGGCAAGTACGGATCAATAATATTCTGCTGAACTTACTGAAGAGCGTGGCGTATAACTGTCACTTGACCGAATGCGGAAATATTTTTGACTATCTTGGGTTACCTTCCTCCCAAAAGTTGTTCGTGAATTCAGCAATTTTACGACACTTTTGGATAAATGATTAAAAAAACAAAAACAAAAAAAAACACATCCTTGTCCTCCCGAGTTCTAAGAGATTGTCCTCGCTATGTTTTGCCTGGTTCTCTTATACTCGCTACGGTCAAGCTACTCGTGATATTTATGTCCCGAAAATATTTAATTCACTTCCTGGTGACATTTTTACGCTTACCTCAAAAATCAACTAAAAAAATTCCTGATTGATTGGATTCTACAATAACTATTCGTTAATGTTTTCTTATATTTATTTTGACAACCTTGTCGGAACCTTTTTATTTTACCTGTATAACGTTTTACCTCTATAACGTTTCTACCGGTCCACTGTGATTGACAATCTCTATGCATGCCATGTGCAAAGTGACTGACTGCTCCCGCTTCCCCCCCCTCCCCCCCCCCCCCCCCGGACAACTATGATTGTTTATCAGTGTTAGTTTGTTAACTAAGTATGTATATAATGATTACTGCTTCTTCCGGGCCATGTCCCACAAACCTACTTTGGCTTTGACGGGTTCGAAAATATCGAAAACAAACATGAAAGCAGAATACATATTATTATTAATATTATTATTATTATTTAGCTGATGAGTGAAGTACTTACTATTTCTCTTTTCGCAGATCGTAACTCGTTACTGTGTAATTTGCGGTTTTGTTCGTTTGGTCGGTGATGTTGGCTGTTGTGGAGATACATTTCTTAGAAACGGGAACGTCGGTGCGGAACAACAAAAAATATGCATTATTTGACGTTTCTTCTAGGACCTGCAATCATCAAAACGAAACATTTCTTATTATTTTTCCCAATATTAAAAAAGACGCATGGCAGGGCCAACTAAATAGGGCACTTATACCCGTTCCCTTATACAAGCGTATCTCGAATGCCATTTACAACGAATGACATTCGTGTGATTGACGAATGGGCTCGCGATCTGTCGCGCGTGGAACGCCCCACGCTCGGGGTGTCGCGCGCTGATTGGCCGATCGTTCAAATGTCATTCGTTGTAGATGGCCTTCGAGTTGCCCGTGTGGCACGGGTATTACTCTGATTTAAGCATTCGTATCCTGTCGACAGTAAAAATCAGGCATTGCCCCCACTTTAAATCACAGCAAACTAATGGTGTTCTTTTATAATGAATGCATACCCATCAATGAACGCTCACACACAAAGAACAAATCGAACGCTTGTATCACTCTCATTGGTTTCGACACGACTACAACATAAATGTGCGCGTGCCATTACATTACTTGCAAGCACGTATTTGTGTAACCGCACAGAATAATCATATGATTAAAGAGAACTAACACCTGCAAACGACGCAGCGAATTTTAAACATCTCTAGCACGCACATGTGTAGGTATATTTCTTTAGTACTAAAATGCGTATTCAGAAAATTAATTTGCGTATGGTCATCCCATGCTTTTAGGAAACGATAGTTGAGGAGTTTCTAGCGCTCCTTGGATTTATGTTTAATCATAATTTAGTTATTTCTGCCTTCTTCGTTTTTTTTTTTTTTTTTTTTTATAAAGTACTATGGTTTGTAAAAATGATCGGGCGATAATGTGCCGTACTTTTCGGACTATAATCCGCACCCGGTGTATAGTCCGCAGGGGTTAATCTGGGGCCAAAATAAAAGATTTTGCTTAGATAGTCCTCAACGGGTGCATAGTCCGCACTTAGTGCATAGTCCTTCCGGTTCAATTCCTGTTCAGTTTCGGGGAGCAAAAATAAAGGTTCGAACCGGTTCGAACCGGTTTGAACCCCTAAATTGCGAACATATTTTCCGCGTTGTTTTGGCAATAGACACTATTTGAACCGTGAAACGAGCAACTATATCGTTTTTTTTAATTATTATTATTCGTATTATTTACTTTAAAATAAAAACAAATTGCGATCTTTCATCTCGACGAAAAAGTAAATGAAAAGCTAAATTAACATTAAAAAACGTCGTGTTTTTTACTCATTTGCCTACCTCAGTCGCATATGTTTTATTTGAATCGAAAGGTCATCAGTCTGGTAGGTCGCCTAAAATATCCGTGATTGCTACAAATTTACGTCGCAGTATCAAAAGTTGAATCCTAGTTGTTCTCTTAAACTTAGGACTTGATTACGGTGCATAAAATTATGAAATTGGCAGCTCCTCACCATATATATTCTGAAATCTAGTTTACGAAATACGTGTCACAATATATATGATGACGACGCGAATGAGCAAAAAGCAGCCCTATTTTCAAAATACCACGAAAGTCTTAGGACTAGCCCTTTCATTCTACCTTTGATAGATGCACTGAGCGGCAATCACAACGTTTGTTTTTCTGACCAGCATTGTTTACTCACCGAACCGTGATGAAGGCTAATAATCACCCAGAAGAGAGTGATCAAAGTTGTTCACTCTAATCTACACGCACCTTCGTATACTCAGATCCAATCTGTCCTAAAATAGCGCCTATACACGTGAACATTTTCGCCATATCCTGGCGTTTGAGGTTTGTTTTTGACAAGATGCCGGGTGAATGCAATTTGCAAATAAGCATCACCTTTGCGAATTCCTGACATCATGTTAAATAGAACAAAATTAGTATCCCATACTCTACTCGACATTGCAACTACTTAATTAGACACTTTCTGACGGTCTGCGTACGCAATCATCATAGTTTGTGTCAGGAACACGTTTATGTGTCAGGAACACGTTTATGAGTCGGGAACACGTAGTTATTTAAACCATCTTCAAACTCAGAAATTTGTTTAAGGCTCTCTCAAATCCCTTATGGATGTGCATATCGAAGATAAAAAGGCCGGAAAACACTTGCAGGGCATGTTTCAGACATTTTGGGGTGCAGTTACTTATGATGTATATCTTTACGGTGATTGGCATTTATTTATGTTGTCGATTCTTCAGTCAGTAAATATATTTGTATTATGATCAATAACTTTGACTGCATGAAGTTCACATAACCACTTGAGATCGACAGAAGAGGACGATACTCGAAATTACGTCATCTGTTGAGTCTGCACAAACGGACATTTTTGTTCGCTGTTTGGCAGTGAGAAACGCCGGGCCCCGGGGCATGCCAAAAAGGACTCTGTGCTTACTAATATTGGCGCTCACGAAATAGATCTGAGGGCAAATACACTAAATCTGGAGAAAAAGAGATAATAAATATATTCTACAAAATTTCACACACAACAGCTTATTGCAGAAAGAAATGCATAGAGATCCATGAAATAATGTTCATAATTACACATGAATAGAGCGAAGGGCTGACATTATATTTCTAACATAAATCACATTTTAACATCGGTTTGCACGAGCTCGTAACTTCGAAAAGTACTGCCTTAGCAGGCTAATATTTTATTCGGTTTTACGTGCACTTGTTTTGGACCCTCACTTTACAACGCTGTATTTTATTAGTCAGCTTCCCTGTATCTTTTTATTAGGCTGCCTCATATCATTGCGAGACCACTATATATACTGCACAACTTTACAATTTGGACATTCACCTTTGCTAGTGTTCAGAACATCGCATTTCACCAGAAAACAGAACTGTTTAATATGTGACGTGACGATATCGCCACAAAATTATAGCGCGAAAGACTAGGACAGGAAGAAACAATGGAACAGGGCAGTCCCATTGTTTCTTCCTGTCCTAGTCTTTTGCGCTATAATTTTGTAACGAATAACAAAATTTGGTAATGAATAATCACCTGTTAATTTTAATTATAAAGATGTCATCGCACTATGGGCTGGTTTTCATTGCGATTTGCTTTCGCCGAGAAAATAAAATAGGATAATCCAAAATGCACGCTGCAGAAGGTTCGCGCTCAGTGCAAGATCATGTATTCGAGATGCACAAATTATTCTTCCGGCGTGTTGCGTCGTGAGGATTGGCGAGAGCGTCTGGCAACCCGAAAACGCGCTTTCGAACATTTCTTGCAGGAGTGTTTTTGCAAACAAAAAAGTTTTCGGGATAACGCGTTCTACTCTGTGCCGAAGATGCGCAGCAGAGAAAACTTTAGAACAAAGTATATATTTAAGACTTCCTCCCCCCCATTTTTTTTTAGGGCGCAGGTCTTAGGCGCTCGTTTCCGGGTTGAGTGGCGTAGGCGTCGCTGTTGGCGTCGGCGTAAGCGCGCTAAATTTAGCGGGAAAATTTGCGTCACATAACCTAAACACCGATTCGATTCCCCGCTATTCAATTTCTCCGCTAGATTTAGCGGACAAATTCAATTTATCCCTAGATTTAAAACCAATTCAATTTCCAGGTAATTTTAACAGGAAACTGATTTGGTGTTGAGGGTACGTGACGGCAATTTTCCCGCTAAATCTCGCGGAGAAACTGAATTTGTTCATAGGTGAAGTGACACCAAGTTATGTGATGTCATTTTTCCGTTCATATTTAGCGAGGAAACTGAATTGGAGGAGGAGAGGAGAGGGCGGAATGGAGGAGGAGGATGAGAGGAGGAGAGGGTATGGGGAGGGAGGAAGGGTATGCCCTCCCCTCCGTACTCTCCACTCCTCCTCCTCAGGTCCTGCGCTCTAATTTCGCATTACATAGATTTGTAATTCTCTTTCATTTTTTCTTCTTCTTTCTATGGTCCTCCAGAGAACACATTTCATTCCTGAGAAACTCCCTCCTCTGTATTACATTTGTGTCATTTGTTAACAGGGATCCTCCATTTCTTTTATTTTACTCCCCAAAACTGTGAAGTATATACAAAATATGGAGGTGGTCAAAGCTTAGGGAAGAACTTGGGAACAAAACTCCTCTGAGACTCTGAGCGGCTGCCAACGTTCGGCTGTCCCTCTGAGGCCACCAGAATCTTTCTTTTCAAGTATCTCTCCCGTACACACGTGTAGTTCTATTTATCGTCGGATCAAAAAGTAAAATTTAGCCCTTTCAATGCTTCTATTCTCGGGGACCACTTTCTGAAACAGTTCAGCAACAGCGAAAACATGTTTGGGTGCCTCAATGATGTGTACCTGTAAAATGGGTCCTGCAACAATTTTAGTACTTTCAGTAAATACCGATAAGAGCCCATTCCCGACGATGATAACTTGCAGAAACACGCATTAGTTCTCGTCTCCATTCAATGGCAGACGCAGAAAACGTAAAGGACAAAAACAGCTTTCCCCTCCTCAACTCGCATTTAGAACAAGCAGACAGGTCTTCATTAAAGGCATACGCTGGGGTTGGGAAAGAATGAAGCATGGGTATAGCTTTAGGCGTTGTCAGAGTTCGGCTATTCTCACATCTGATTGAACACGAACCGTTACCCGAATGTTTGGCGATGCTGATTGTCACGAACCCGAGCAGTCGACTCGGGCTCATGAAAACCGAGTGCGTGAAGGTGTCACGTGACTCGCGGTGAAAGGTCGTAATGCCATGTGAAGTCACGGTATCAACAACGCTAATAAATCTAGTGACGTTGTAAACTTAAGTCGACTTTTGTCACGTGACTAAGTCCCGAGGCCACGTGACCTGACATTACAAGACAGCACGCCTTGACATCATGACGTCACGTGACCACATGACACAGGATTAATCGTTGTGACAATACAAAAGCGCCTAGAAAACCCACAAGTTCTCATACATTGCAATTCGGTATAGTATGACTATTTGAACCCTGCAGATGAGCACAGCTCCTAATTTTTATTTCTCAAACATTTATTTTATAATACGAAACAACATTAACGTGAGCTGTTTTGAACCCGTTACTGTTATATTGTTTCCTGTGCAGTGCCGGTTCAGTTTCAAGATGGCGGCGAAAATTTCGGTTCGGCGAGCGTTACTAGAAAAACTCAGTTGGGAAACTGCCATACAGCCTGCTCGAAAAAAGTGGCACCGATCACTACTCAAGAACCGAGCTAATTGCGATCGTAACGCCGCCATTTCTCCCGCAGCGGCCACTCGGGGAACTGCACGGCTGCTTGAATTGGTTCAAGAGTATCGCGTTCGATAGTGTCCACTGTTACTCATGTATTTTTGTTTTAATCGGACATTTTGCCGCCGAAACATATACGGTGAATCACTTCCAAGCGGACGCGTCCCGAACTACTACCCAAGCTAGGACGCGCCATGATTGGGACGCGCTACCTGAAATCACCGGTGAGACATGGTTGTATAAAAACAATATAAATTGTGCTACGAAACCTTGTAATTTAAAGATTTTAGAAAACATCATTGCCTGTAATTCTGTACTGATCTCCAATAAATGCTCCTAGAAAAATAACTTTTTGCGTTTGTTTTTACGCAAAAACATGCTTTCTGAAGGCTCATATTAACTACAGTAAAATCAAGCGTTGAACAGCTTTTTGGCACCTTGAGCCCGATTGTTTAAGTACTCTGGGAACATTAAGTGACTCTATTAGTAGCCATTTAAAGCAACTTTCATGTCTCAACTCGTTCCTAAAGGGCGGCGTTGTTATCGCATTTAGCTCGGTGTCAGTAAACACCAGCGGTCGAGGTTTCGAGGGTCACTTTCCCAAATGAGTGTTTTAGTAACGTTGGGTTCGGTCAGAAATGACGGTTTGGTTCCGGTTCGGTACCGACACCACGCCCTTCACGCGAATGGCACCGCTCCCAAGACTACCTCGTATTCTAGTACACTGTAGTTCTATTCTAACCATGGAGGTAGGAAGAAGAAGAGGCGATAGAGCGACTCAAGCCAGCCAAACGAGAAAAATCCCAAGTGAAGCAGGAAGTGGAGGACGCGGTCTGTGGAACGGCCCCCAGAGCGACCAAAACCACACCAAAGCCGCTGCTTCGGCCAAACCAGGTGTCCTTTCCGTCCAATACCGTCTTCAGGTTTCGGTCACCGTTGGGGGCTTGTCCCTCTAAACCGGAAAACTCGGGACCTCCATGTCGCCTCCAGAACACCTCAAAGATGGTAACTTTAGCGCACTTCCTACGCGCTCCAAGTTTTTCTGGTATGTACTCATTTAGTAGTTTTCGATGATACTCAGCAAGTTTCTGATGGGAATCATATCTTTCTCTTCAATCAATAAAAATGTTATTGAGCAAATTTTAGTTAATTAACTAATTTATCGTGATGCTTATCGACTTATATTATGTCTTTCAGTCCGCATAAATAGAGCTTTCGTGTCTTATTTTTTTTTTAAACAAATCTGTAAAGCCTTAGGAATACAGCCTGTATTTCGTCCCCCGCCCCCCCCCCCCCCCCCCCCCCCCCCCCCTTATCTTAACCACATACCTGCCATGCATCTTGCAGAGACCCAAGATCTGGGTAGTTGAAGTTAGGGCTGTTTTCCGGGTTCTTGATGGTCATTTTCTCCGTCCATTGAAAGCTCTTTGTCCATTGCGCCGAGACCTCACCCACGGCGAAATATGCGAACAACAATACGCACTGGAGGCCCATTGCAACGTATTCTTTCTGCATTCACTCCTCTTATGAGATCGACTGAACGCTGCCTAAGTGTTAAATAAGTTCCTATTTTTTTCTTGTTATTTCAAAATACAGCGGTACCGGATCAAAGCTGACGTTTGTGACGAGACTCTCCTAAGGGAAAAGCATTGTTCAGAGAGGCTGCGTTAACATGTGAGACAAGTGGTCGTAATACACAACGAAGTAAAAGAAAAAAAAATGCCAGAAGTCGCTTCGGAAGGCAATTATGAATTTCAGTTGTTTCGATTCCCTCGTCGCTTTGGTTTCTGTGGTTGCAGCTAACACAAACACCTGAAACAGCCTTGAAGCGACAAAAACAACAAAGTCACACTTCGCGGTACTACGTCATGAGAATGAACGCAAAATTAACCTGATGAGATTAAAACAAACAAAAAAAGAAAAAAAAAACAACAGTAACTATGCCTCGGATGGGCAAATTCCAGATCAATACTATCACCCAGCTTTTATCGCTTCCTAGCTTGCACTGTCGTGAGGTGATTATTGTCAGAAACAAGGAAAGGAGATGCGACGTGGTAAACTATGGACACTGACGTCTTAAACAACGCAGCGCGTGCCAGGACCCAATAGTTTTATTATCGCTCCGAAACCGATTAGATTTCGGCAATTTGTGATAAGAACGCCCAAGAACGAATCACAAAGCGAGAAGAGTTACGGTAAGAAATCACACGCCCGGTATTTCTTAAGCCGACGGTGACTACTACCTATCTTGCTTATAAAACAATTATTTCGTCAACGATAGAACAATAAAGCGTAATTTGGAACTCTGGTATAACGTCAATTACCCTACGAATTTAGACGAGGCTACAGAGAAATCCGTAAGGCCGGGATCGCACTGCTCATTCATCACGCAAAAGACAGTCTGCAAACACGAGTCACCGCAATGTCCGTGGTTCGAATGCCGCGTGCCCAAGTTTCCCCCTAAACTCGTTGCCACTCGGCATTTGAAGCACGGATCTCGCGGTGACTCGTGTTCGAATCTTGATGCAGACTGTTTTTTCTATGATGTATAAACAATGTGACCCCGGCTTTACGTTTATATTTTGAACGGGAGAGGTGACATTCGTGACTTATTTATCATGATGAAACACTGAATGAAAGTGAAACTGGCTTTATGGTCACGTCTTGGGAGCGTTGCAGAAGTTCAGAAGAAGGGCAGAATAGCAAATTTTATGTCCGCGTCTCACTGACATTGCAGACGACGATAGACGGTGGTGAAACAGCAGATGATGCCGGAGGCTGCCGCGTGTCTGTTCGCATGACTATACTTCGTTTCAGCTTCCGTCCGAGCGCAGCCAAAGGCTGAGGGACGGTTCGCAACTTCGAGAGGAGCATTCCAACGCACCACAAAGTAGTCCGCAAAAGTAATTTTTTTTAAAGTAACTATTTTGTGCTTAAACATTGCATAATATTCCAGGTGTGTACTGCTGAGAATGATTTGCGACCAAAGGAATTAGATATCTGAAGTTTATGTTTTTATTAATATGTGCAAATTCACGCGTTTTGGTGAAAGCACGTACATCCGCTGGCAGCACGGCTGCAGCGCTCGGTTTTTTTTGTGTGAATTCGTTCCCGTAAAAACCAAATCATGTGCCTCATTGCTTTCCTCACCGAGTCGCTCCAAAACGTCCTTTCGGTAAAGCGCGCTTACGCGTCAGGCGCGAGAGGTCGTGAAGAATCTTTACTTTCAAATTCGGCAGGAGACTCCGGTCGCGTCGTACCGCGATTGCGTTGTAAACAAGAAAAGCGTCCGGGTCACTACAATCCATTGATACGTGGCGACATCAGGGCACCCCTTCACCTGCCTATCACATTGAACGCCGAGAAGCTGGTGGAGAGTACTGCGCCTCGAGCCCTGGTATACCCAGACAACCAAAGGAAACATCAACGGCTGGGTCATCGGGCACCTTGCAATGTGTACTTACATCTTGAAACTATGCTGAAATGCAGAACAGGTGGAAAGCTCGGACACAAACGCCAGCGGCCAGCCTACGTATTGACATCCCCTGTTACTAAATTTGAGGACGTGAAAGGGCACTTTTTAAGCCGTTGCAGGCGATACAGTTGATACACCCGTAGCAGACGAAATACTCGGCTAGCGCGGGCGGCACGGACGACCAGCAGCGCAGCGGAGTGATACAAAAGTGCAGGCGAGATTGCCTGCCCTATTGCCAGCGTGTGATTGGCTCCGACCACACGCAGCTTCGGCTGCGCTCGGACGGAAGCTGAAACGAAGTGTAGCAGGCTCAATTAGACGCCAGAAAAGACGCACCGGATGTCGCGAAAGGGAGACACTAGGTTTGTTAGCGTGATGAACCGAGCAGCCAAGGCAGCCAAGTAGCAATGGGCGGGGCCACTGATTTGTGGTCGGGGCTTAGAGCGTGCCGTGACCTCCACCTAAATTGGGTCGAACAACGTAAACACTGTGCGAATTAATTTTTTTCTAAATTTCTAAACAAATTTCTTGAAAAAAAAAAAACAAAAAAAACATACATGTCTTCATTATACAATGAAAAAAACATTTTGTTTTTATTTTAATATTTATTTACGAGTGAGCATACCAGAAGCTACAAGCGCGAACTTCGGGCTTTCAGCGTCTCTGGCCACCACTAGCGCTCGTGCAGTGCAAGCGCTGTTCAAGGCCACATGCTCGCGCTTGTTTCATCGGCTGCGCTTGGATCTAAGTATCCGCTGAAGACAAAAAACCTAGCCAGTGCGATACCTCTACTAAGTGAATTTTCGAACATGCGTCGTGCCGTAGAGGTACACGACGGCACGCCGATAAGCCGGCACGTGTAAGGATTGAACCGAGGAGGACCGTGTTCAATGTTCACTTGCGCACGTCAGCAGAGATAGAAGGCTCGGCGGCTGGCACATGCTAACGCACTGTTGTTTGCAAGCTGCCGTATAGGCCGGTTCACGCATACCTTAAAGGGGCGATGCAACAATTTTTGTATTTTGCGGGAATACCGCCTAAAATGGATCCCTGAGGATAGTGACCTATGAAACACGCGTTCGTTTTTCGCCCCACGTAATAGAAGTCCCAGAAAGGAATTAAAGAAAAACGAGCAGCTTTCGCCCCCTCAACTCGCATCCACAACAAGGGGCCACGTGATCTGGAGCTGATTATATGCCGCCAATGTTGATCATGGCCACGCGCTGGGGTTGCAAGGCACAGGACAGGCGCTGAGTTCCTGTTGTTCGGCAATTGTCGTCATTGCAGCGATTGTCGTCATTGCAGCGATTGGACACGGGCCACTACCCGAATGCTTCTCGAGTTATCGATTATCACGAGCCCAAATCGAATGCCCACGCAATGCCCGGGTCCAATCTATGAGCTGCGTTAAAATATTGCCACTGGGTGGCACTGCGACCGCCCAGCTACGTCTTCAATTTTTGGGAAGGAGATATTGAATGAGACCGCCCGCTTTTGTTCTGGAAATTACACCGCTACAAAGGAGTTTCTTGCCCAGTGGCGTTGCGTGCAAGTATCCTTGTCTCCCACTAGTGCCAGTAAGCTCGTGTAAAGTGAAAAACATTCCATTTGAATATCGCTGCACCGTCCCTTTAAGCTGAAACGAAGTAGAGCAAAATGGGATTTCCAAATTGTACAGTTGTGCAGTATATATAGCAGTCTCGCGATGATATGCGGCCGCCCAATAAATTGTTAGAGCCCGCATGACTGATGAAGCACAGAGTTGTAAATTGAGGCCGCAGAACAAGCCCCCGTAAAATTGAATATAACTTTAGCCTCCCGAGACAGTATTTTGCGAAGTTTCGAGCTCGTGCAAGTCGATGTCCTAATGAAATAAAAATTAGAAATATATTGTCTCTTCTTCGCGCTATTTATGTGTAATCAGTAAAATCAATGCACGCATCTCTATTAGACAAATACGGTCCATAACCAACCATGTCCCAAACACTTAGGAGACCGACGTTTCAAAACCAATTAGTTTTTTTCATCAGGGTCAACTATTTGACCGTGGAGGGCAGCAGCTTCTTTTCCAGCTTCACTCACTTTCTCTTCTTCAAAAGCCCTAGTCCGTTGGCATATGCCGGTGTTTAAGTGCCTGTCAACTTATTTAGCAGGGCCTATTAAAATAACGTGTAAGCAGTGATGGAGTGCGGGCGAGCTAGTAATGAATCGACATCTCGTTGACCCTGAGATGGGGGGGCTCCTAAATGTTTAGGACTTGGTTGGTGAAGGTCTGTATTTCTCGAATTTTCGGCCCAGCCAGACACAGTTCCGTCAAACTTGTTTACGTTTAGAAAATGCATCTCAATTTTTTTCTTTATACTGTAAGGCTTCGTGTATGGGATTATTTAGAACAATACCATTTATTATCTCTCTTCCTGCAAATATTGTGCATTTTCCTTCAGGTCTATAACATGAGCACACAGTCCTTTCTGGCATATTCAACGACCCGGTGTTTCACACTGTCGAACAGCGAAAAAGAAAACACATTTCCGCAGACGCAACAGATTGCGTATTTTCGAGTATCGTCCTCCCGTGTCGGTCTCAAGCGACACGGGAGGACAATAAGCGAAGCGGGAGCATCTGACCTTCATACAGTAAAATTTATTATTGTTAAGAAAAAAATATTTTATCACTGCCTGAAGACTACAACATAAATAAAGGACCGATTACTTTAAAGATATAAATCGTAAGTAAATGCACCCCCAAATTATCCGAAATACGCTCTGCAAATCTTTACCGGCGTTTTTATCCTCGATAGGCACGTCTATAAGGGATTTGAGAGTTCCTGATGCATACTCAACTTCCCAAACATAATGAACTATGTTGTCTCTATTATGTGATGGAAAACAATTTTAAGTGTTTTTGGGCGGGACGAAAACGAAGTGGCGCGTGGCAAAAATACCCTTTCCGAAATTCAGTGCCATCTGGTGGTTTGTAAAGCAGTTTAGGTTTTGCCATATCAATGGCGGAAATGAACTTGTATCGGCACCGTCACTTT